GATACTGCTGGGTTTTTTTCCTTGCTGCATTATTTGGGAACCATTTTAAGATTCCCCCAAAGTCCACACACTGAGCCCTCTGTGCCAGGAGTCACGGCCAGCAGAGCAGAGGCAGGGAGTGTCTGCAGAAGCCGTTTGAGAGTCCAGCTTCCGAGCTGGCTGCTGCACTTCCTGCAGTGCGTAGTGTGCTCTGGAGCCCTGGGGAGGGGTCAGGTCTGAGGCCGGCTGCACAGCACTGCCCCAGGCGACTTCCTGAAAACCTGGGACTTGCCTGGAGCTTCTCTTCTGAGCCCAGCTGAGTAGCTGGCACAAGGTTACTTCAGCCAACAGGGATAGGCTCATCCATTGAGCATCCAGACAGTGTTTTCCATGCCTCCCTCACTTATCATAGGCACTCTGTAAACAGGCACTGCCATTATCCCCATTTCAAAGATGAACACACAGAGCTAAGGGAGAGGACAAGGACCAGACCAGAGCTGCTGGAAGGCTCCGAGCCAGCTTTCTTACCCACGTGCTCCTAAGTGGACTTAAGACAGAGTCGTCCAAGTGGGCCAGGAGCTGGCTGAGGCTGGCATGACCATGAGACTCCTGCTGCTCCTGCTGCAGGGTTAGGTCCTGTGTGCCAGCACCCCAGTTTAGGAGGTGTTTGGGGAGTTAAACTTAAGTCATTTGGTGTGCTAGGCCAACACACTACCCCATAATTCACTCCATACACGCTTCCAGTCTGAAGAAAACTCACATGGCATCAAGTCAGTGTCCTTACATGCATCTTGCCTTCACATGCTTTCTGCCTGGGGAACCTTCTCCTACAATTCTACCTAGTATGTATCTGTCTTTCTTCCTAAGGTGACCTCTTAAGGCCACCTCTCTGTTATGAACAGTTATGACCTTCTTCACCCAGCACCCAGAGCTCAGACTGCCCTGGCTGGCTGCCCCAGAGTATGGGCTTCTTAGAGTCTCCTCAGAATACCTGGCTCCTAGTGTAGCAGCTGGGCAACTAGACGCCAAGGACTACATTCGTTCCATATATTTTCCTGACCAGTCGTGAGACGTAGAGCAGGAAAAAAGGAGATACGACCCCTGTGCTCAGGGGTCCACAGTAGCAAGCATTCCTAATGGAGGTGGTAACACTTGGAGGGAACTAAAGGGCCCCATGATCCAGCCAGGATGGGGACTAGAAGAGGTAGATTTAGGGAGAGGGGAAGTGCCCCAGGTTAGACCTTGGCTGAAGAGCATAGGCAAGAACGGTGTATCCCTCAGGGTCCATGGCTTATGTGATTGAGAGCTAGGCCTGAGACTTGCCTCGGGGCTCATGGACTCATCCATCCTGCAGATCTCTGCTGTCTGGAGTGGGTTCTAGAGGTCCATTTAGCAGAACAAAGGAAGTACAGCCTTCCATGGCAGAGGTTGGAGGAGGCACTATCCCTGGCAGGACTATGGCATTCTGGAAAGCAGGAATCTCTGGGAGTGAGGCTAAGAGTCCCTTCTGGGCTTTTCGGTGGTGGTCTCAGCTGCCTGTGTGAGAACTGGGTGACAGAGGCCAAGCCTCTGGGGCTGCTGGCCCCAAGACAGGCTGGTTTTACCAGGGAATGGGGCCTGCACAATGGCTTGATTGTCAGAGGCCTGGCTCTCCAGCCAGCATCTTAGCATTCCTGTGATCAGAGTGTCACCGTGATGTGGACATGGAACGGGATGCCATGAACCCCTCCCTCGAGCACTCATTGAACCAGGGTACAGCTTTGTCACAGAAACTCCCCCAAGTAAGGTTTCTGATGTGTCCTGTCGATCACCACAAACTCCAAGCAGCCTGTGGCTAAGAACCTCTTTGGTGTTTCACATAAATTTACAGAAAAGATCCACTTCTCCATACATCAGTTCTTTCTAGAGATTTCTACTACATGGTTGTGCCAGATGCCTGTGAGCTGGGCTAGTGACCAGGTCAGAGCTAGAATGCTTACCTTTTGGTCACTGACAAGGAGACTGTGGATCAGGCACTGTTTCTGTGCCCGGTTTTCACTTTTGTACCCTTGGGACAGCGCTGTTCATCTTGGGGACCCTCTCAGCTGCCAGGACCTCCTCTTAGGACTCATACCATTTGTTGGGTGTTGATGGTGTCTGCCTGCCTCATCTTGAGGGGCTTAGGTTCTACACAGCAGTTCCACTGTATGCACTCTTAAGTTGAGAACATTCCAGATGAAGTAGGCATGATTCAGTGAGAGGCCAGAGGCTGACTATGCCTGCCTTGGGAGGACCTTCTGTCTGTTTTGTTTGTTTCCAGGTGCCCGATGCTGCCTCAGGAACTGTGAGGTGTGGCGTAGGGTAGCTGGTGAGTTCCCACATAGCAGCCCTGAAGGGTTTTCCCAAAGAGTGATGAGAGAATGCCTTGATCCATCTGGTCACAGGGTGGATATTACCCAAGGCACTGGCCCCCATGCGGAGGGTAGGGGTAGTGTCAGGTTGTGGGGACAGTGTGAGTATGCAGTCACATTTCCTGTGCTGCAGATGTGGTCTCCACAGAGAAGACAGCATGGAAACCAGAGAAGGATTAGGGCAGCAGCAGCAGACTCGACTGCCAGCAGCACAGGGTGGCATCAGGATAGGAGACGTTAGGATACTTTGTGGAGTAGTGGAATGGGATGGAAGAAGGCATGGGCTTTGGAACTATAGTCCCAGGTTCAAGTCCCATGGATCACATAGCTGTCACCTTAGCAAGTCAGCCTTCCTGAGCCTTTATTCTTCCTTCTGGAAACCCATCTCCTAGAGTAAGGGTAGGGACAGAATGAGATAAAGTGCCTGCTCACTAAGCCCAGTGGGCAACTTTGTAACCCTTTGTGGGGTCCTTGCCTGTGAACCCATAGCCCTGCTGGGTAATTCTCCAGGATCATACATGTTGCCCATCTATCTCTCTACGCTGTGTTTGTCCTTGCCCGTGATAATCTGGGTTAGCCAGGTTCACAGTCAGAACTTCTGTTGAGCCAGAGATGCATGCCGAGGCCAGAAAGCTACCAAGTCCAGACTGCGGCAGGAAGCCTTCAGTGTCCCCCTCCAGAAGCCTGGACTGGAGGGCATGCACTCCACGGTCACTTTCCAAATGCCTTCAAGAACTCAAGAGCCCAGTTTGGCCTCTGGGTTGTGGGAGAAAAGCTGCCCCCCTGGTCTCAGACACATTGGTATTGTGTGGCACTAGTCCACCATGGCCAGGCTTGCCGGAGGCTGTTCTCTGCCCGTCCCTCTGTAAGACAGATGTGGCTGGCGGTCCTTTTGTGGAACCATGGAAGCCCCTTGTTCCTGTCCCTGTGGTTCTGACAGGGATGCCAGTAGGCAGACCAGGAGCACCCAAGGGAGTGCAGGGTGTCATTTGGCCTGTGAGGTTAGCACTGGAGGTTTGGTCTGTTTCCTTCGAGTATACTTCTCCGATGCAGAAACGCTGCAGGTGGCCGCAAACCTCAGTCCTAGATACAAAGTCCTCACCCTTTAATACAGTTCCTCATGTTGTGGTGACCCCCAACCATAAAATGATTGCTTCTTCATAACTGTAATTGTGCTACTGTTATGAATTATAATGTGAATATCTGATAATCAGGATATTTGATGTGTGACCCCTGTGGGGGTCATGACCCACAGGTTGAGGACCTTAGCGGACTACATCCAGAACAAGGAAAGAAGTGGCACTTGTTCTCCCCTCTGGGCAGTTCTGATGGTTGGGCTCTCGATCACTGGTGTTGAGAGTTTTCAGAGGCTTTGTACACAGGCACTGGACTGAGGACTAAGATCTCATGTGCTGCCCCTGGTGAACAGTGATGCATGACTCAGAGTGGCCCTGCAGTCACTGTGGGGTGGAGATGGTTAGGTGTGTGCTGTGGAGTAGCTTCAGGTGTCTGCTCATCTACTACTGAGCTGGGTGCTCTTATCACTCCGTTTCACAGATCAGGAAACTGAGGCTTAGGAATTCTGCGATCTTCCAGAGCCACTGAGCTACTACTCAGAGGAGCTCAGACTTGGAGCCATACCCTGCCTGTGCTCAGAAGAACCCACGTGGAGAGCATTGAGCTGGCTTCAGAACTGGTGTTCTCAATCTTCCTCCCAGCCCCTGTGGAAAAGGATCTTTTTCTGAGTAACCACACTGGCCTCTGAGAACTCTCCTAATCCCAAAGCAGAGGCAATAGCTGACCCGTGACACAGATGTCACAGGGAGAGGGAAGGGAGCAGCAGAAAATTTCTGTTTGGAAATTGTCATCTCATGCCGAGTGCTTTCAAGGGACCCTGTATGTGGTGTCTGTAGTGTCCCCTCACGAGGCTGCCAGGAAAGCACGTTCTCCAGTTTCTCTGCGTATCCTGTTAGTTGGAGACCTGAGGACCATCTGCTGTGTCCTTGGGCACAGAGGGAAAGTCAGGACAGCACTTTACCCCACTGACAGAAACTGGCGGGTGACATGTTCTGTCCTGCACAGGACGCCTCTGCTCCTGGCCCGTTGGAAGCTAGTGAGCAGGAGCCGCCTGGCCCAGGGCACTTTCTGAAAGAGGGCTCCCACTGCCTCAGGTCTGCTTCTGCTTCACGGCTGCTTCTGCCTTAGCATACATAGTCTCTAGCGGGCGTCCAGAGCTTCAACGTAACTTGCCAAGTCCTCCGCTACCTTGCAGCTCTCAGCCCGCTGCCCTCTCAAGTACACACCTACACACATGCACGTACCCTGGCTACCACCTGGTGTCCAACAGCTACTCGGTTCACCCCATAGGCTCTTTGTCTGAAAGAGGCGAGGAGGGTCCACCACTGAAGTCCTGGACATCCCAGCCCCGTGCTGCCCTGTCTCAGCACCACCCTGCCTAAGCATCCACAGCCCTCTGCCTAGTCAGGCGCTTGGTTTGGCTCCAAGTAAAAGTAAGGTGTGACCCCATGTGGGGTCCAGCTGCCCCCCCAGATGGAGGGAGGAGTCAGGGTTGCTTACCCTGGCCCATCTCAAGCCCCTTCCCCTGGCTGCTGCAGTTGAGTAGCCCCTTACCTCTTCTCTCCTGTTGACTCTGGAGCAGCGCCTCACATGCTTTACGATGCCATCAGCGGGGCAGCCCGGCCATGGCCTCCAGGAGGGGTCCCGAGTCTCTGGCTGGTCTGGCAGCCCTGCCTTACTGGCCTCTGCTGGCAACAGCCTGAGCTCTCAGAGGTTCTTAGGGATGGGTCTGGCTAGGATGTCGCTGGGGCTGCTGCTCACAGCTCTTCCTCACAGTGTGACCGGCAACCGCCTCAGTGCATGCTCCCTGCAGGTCCTGGGTCCGGCACCCCACTCAGGGCTCCGGTCCTTCCCCAGGCCGACTCAGCAGCCTCAGTTGAACTCCCAGGTTCTTTGTGGAGCCTTTACATGCCGCCAGAGGAAACTGTGAGCACAGCCTGACCCTGGTTGGCTACAGGCACTTCTCTCCGCCCACTGGTGCAAGAGGATCCCCCAGGCCCCAGAAAGGCTCCGGGCCTCCCCTTAGCTCCAGACAGGGGCGGGCCGCTCGGTGATGTCACACTAGCTCCAGCCCCAGCTGGCCCAGCCCCTCCTGCCCGGTTTGGCGGCCTGGGCGGCCCCCTCCTTCTTTGGCACAAGCAGCCTGGCCAGCTCTGCTCCTGGCCCGCTCACCCGCCCGCCCGCCCGCCCGCTCCACTCCCTGAAGCCGATGTTCCTGGGGTGCCCTGTGCAGGCAGAGCGCTTCCCCTGGACTCAGGTAATGGGTTTTGATTAGCTGCAGCTGTGCAAGCAGCTGCTTGGGACTCCAGCAGCTCACTCTTTTCCTGTGGGTTGCCCTACTAAGTGCCCTTCTCCAGAGGCCACATTCCTCTTCCCAAACTACTTCATTCCTGCACAAGGCTAGCCTGAGGCAGTGGGTTAGGACAGTGGACGTACCATGGCTGGGTTGGGGACCACTGTCACCTACCACCTGAGTTACCTACCTTGGGCTTCCTTCCCCAGGGCATAAATGAGCCACAAGTCAACAAGCCTGCAGTGAGTGTCCCCCACTGGGCCACCTGGGACATGCCTGTTGCAGGGCCAAGGATGATTCGGGCTGGGTGGGCAGGTGGGCCGGGCACACATTCCACCCCCTGCTGTGTGACTCTGCCAGCCTCAGTTTTCTCAGCTGGGACTTGAGGGGCTGTCCAGTGAGCAAATGATGGGCTCCCTGGGAGCCATGATGGTGGAACTCTAAGACTGTTTGGGGGTTCCGAGTAGGAAAGGGAAAAGTGACACTGATGTCCCCAAGCTAGTGTCCTCTAGATGTGTCAGACCTGTTGGGCTGGTTGGAGGAAGGCCAGGCAGGCTGCTGGGCATCCTGCAGAGGTGTGGGGAGGGAATCCTCAAGTCCCCCCAGCAGGCTCCCCCACTGCTTGCTATTAGCAGTGACTCTTGTTTGTAAAGCTTTCGTGGTGGGGGTGGCAGTGACTGCAGGTATAAGCTGGGGGGGATTCCTGGTCCCTAAAAAGAGAGACCTGCTGTGGTTCCCTCCCAGGACTGCTGCCCTTCTGTTGAGGAAACACGTTTTTTCCTGCCTTAGCTTCTCCTCAGCCTACCTGGCTCCTCCCTTTTTCTGACAATCCCTTCCTTTCTTAGAAGAGACTATGGACCTTACAGGACACCACTAGCCAGAGAGCTAGACTGGACAGGAAGGCTTCTTCTACCAGCAGACGCAGATGCCATACACTCTGCGTCCTGTCTAGGACCTGGACGGGGTCCTCTGGCTGAGCACCTCTCCTGAAGCACCTTTGGCAGGAGGAGGTCACACAACACACTGAGGGTCTGCCCTGTCTTTTTCTCTGCCCCCACCCCTCACATCTCTCCTTCTCACTTCCAGAGTGTGTTTGTGAAGATGCTGCTGTTAGCCAAAGGCCCCATCCTCTGACAGCTGACACCCGGAGCTGGAGAGAGACCACAGGGTCTCAGCTGGGTGCTGAGGGTGCATCTCTCAGAGAGATGTAGCAGCCTGGGCTAGCTGCCTGATGAAGTATCTAAGCCCAGACCCTTAGGGTAGCTCAGACCCAGTAGGCAATTCAGGTGGAGAGGGAGGTCAAGACTGGGAGGGGTGGGTAAAGATGTCATGGTAGATTGCTTCCTCAAATGGCCCCAACAGCCCCCAGGCTACCAGTGACCCCCACACTCCTCCCATTAGAGGTGGTGTCCATGCTCCTCCCTCACAAGTCTGTGAGGTGCTGCTTTGTACTGGTAACACCAGTATGGTGAAATGAAGGGACCAGATAACAGGCGGTTAGTTACAGGCAGGGGGACATCTCTTGTGTTCATAGAGCGTTCAGCAAGTCAGACCCTGAGAAGTTCAGCATGTGTGGAAAGTTGTCCCCAGATGGGTCTAGCCCCTGACTACCAGGTCACCACCCCACCTGTATTTATTCTCAGCCACAGTCTTCCTGCTGGGGCCCTGGGTGTAAAGGGGAGAGAGAAATGGTCCACACATGAATTCCTGGCACACAGCTTAATGGAAGAGCTGTTGCAGGCTCCTGAGTTCTGATGTCATTCGTTAGACCACAGTAGTAACTGAAGACGACACTGAGGCAAGAATGGTTAATGTGGCTCTCCTGTGTTGTGTTTTGTTTGAGTTGGGATCCTACTACAGAGCCAAGGCTAGCCTCAAACTCAGAATCCTCCTACCTCAGCCTCCTCAATGCCGGATTACAGGCACACACCACCATGCCCAAGCGCAAGGCATTCTTTAAGTGCAGCTGAGAGGAGAGCATTTTGGCTGAGGAAAGATGAGCCCTGTTAGAGGGATGGGAATAAATCCCAAGGAGCCAGTAACAGGCTTTAAGCAACACATGGCTGGGATTGTCTTTGTAAAAGGCCACCACCGTTGAGGGGCCTGCTGCTGGGAGCCACAGTCTGGCCATCTGAAGCTGGTGGCTGTGGTTGTAGCCATGTGGCAAGAAAGACAGTTGGAGGCCATGGGACAGACTTGATGGCAGAAGGAGTCTCCAGGACCACCGTGAATGCGGGTTACCGTAGGATTTCTGGTTGCATAATCCAAAGCTTCAGCAGAGCCAGCAAGTTGGGGAAGAGCACCAGAGCAGCCTTGCCCAGCCATCTTTGCACAAGCCATACCCTTTGGTGGCCGCAGGCAGTCAGGTGCCCTGCTGGGGAGCTCAGACCTCAGAGTCCATTTCCACTTCTGCCTCTCAGGACCTCTGAACCTTCCTTCCTTTCCCTCATTTGTAAAATGTGGGTAATGTAGGATCTACCTCATAGAGCTATTATAAAAATTAAATGAGGGGCTGAGGGGGTGGCTCGCCTGTTAAGAGCAATAACTACTTTCTAGAGGATCTGAGTTTGATTCCCAGCACCCGCATGATGGTTCACAATCATCTGTAGCTCCAGTTCCAGGGGCTCCAGCACCTTTGTGTGGTCTCCCTGGGTACTAGGCACACAGTGGCACACAGACAAACACAGAGGCAAACACCCATGTATATATAAAATAAAAACATTTTTACAGTATTAAATAAAATTTGACACCTTAGTTTAACATACTCGGGCTATCTTCAACCCAGTGAATGCTGGCTGTAGTAATCACTGGTACCTCCTTCGCTGGGTTTTCAGCTCCCGTGTGGACATATGTTTCCTCATCTGCTTTTGGTTTTGAGACAGGGTCTCATGCATATATCCTAAGTTGACTGAACTGTGTAGCCAAGGATGACCTTGAACTTCTGATCTTCCTGTCTCCACCTCATGGATGCTGGTACAGACGTGCTGTACATCACTAGACCTGGTTTATGTGGTGCCAGGGGTCAAACCCAGGGCTGCTTGCACACTAAGCAAGCGCTCTACCGAGTGCCGCTCCAGCCTTATTTCTGTTGTTTGGGACAGGCTCTGCCTGTGTCGCCCAGGCTGGCCTTGGACACAGGATCCTTTTGCCACGGCCTGAGTGCTCTGGTTGAAGGCGGGCACCATCACACTTGGTTGTAGCTGGTCTTCTTTTTCCTCTGCCGTCTTCTCCCTGGCTTCCCACAGTCTGCCTCTGACGTGATGAAGAGGGACGCTTTCGCATGTGTCCCGCCCGGGGGTCCCTGAGTCTCTGGTTCCCCACAGTTTGCCTCTGACGTGATGGAGAGGGACGCTTTCGCATGTGTCCCGCCCGGGGGTCCCTGAGTCTCTGGTTCCCCACAGTCTGCCTCTGACGTGATGAAGAGGGACGCTTTCGCATGTGTCCCGCCCGGGGGTCCCTGAGTCTCTGGTTCCCCACAGTCTGCCTCTG